AAACATCATAGTGCAAATTTATAGCCTCTGAAAGTTTGCATGCATTGCAACCCGCAACCCAATCATCGGGTCAAATGGGTCAACAATCGAACCGGTCGGGTCAAACGGTTCTTGAACAAGTCAATGATTTTTTTACACTTGGCGGGTCTTAACTGAACCAGACCCAAAATCCTAGCCGGATGACAGTACGAACAGTTCAACCGACTAGGTCAACGGCAGGTGAAAACATTTGTCCCAACACTCATGAAAGAAGACTAGGAAGAAGCAATCTGAGATTGGGGCTTTGTCTTCTTCCTCAAGAGAGAAGTCACCTTGATTTCAGCTTCAGTAAACTCCTCTTCCAGCTTGTTCTTCTTCTCCTCAACAATCTTGAGACATTCCAAGACTCTAGGGTCAGCTTCCAACATCTATCAGAAGAATATAGCTTATAGAAGAAAGTGAGGATCTCATCCATGATTAAATCTTGATCTTCATCTTCCACACCATGAATAAGTAGCTTGCAGTTAGGTTCTTTCTGTATCTACCATTAGCTGACCCTTCTACTCCTTTTCATCCAACATAGCTATTTCTCCCAATATTGTCTTCTTCTCGGCGAATGACTCAAAACTTTGATTTACTCCACTCCTCAAGCTTTTCTTTAAGAAATTACAGATTCTTCCCAAACTTTTTTTTCATAAATAGCTTCTTCCCAAACTTAAAACCAGCCCAACCATCAGGATTACATAGGTCCCACTATCAGGCCACTTCATCCTTGAAATCATGGAGGAAGATCCAAAACTTCTCAAAACAAAAAGGAGGCTTTTACCTCAGCTTCCGATCTGTGTCCAAGATCACCGGCCAATGGTCAGGCATACATCTCTAGTTAGTGAACTGTCATTGAGAAGTGCTCCTCCCATCTCAAAAAAAAACAGAAATCCGTCCAATCTAAAACTGATGGAACTTAACCAAAGATTCAACCAGGTCAAGCTCAAGTTCTGAGGGGAAAGGACAATAATGGAATAATCTGTAATGATATTGGAAAAAATCCTTATACTTCTTGTTAGTCTTCCACCACTAGGTTTCTCATGAGCAAACCTCACTACATTAAAGTCCCCACCACACACCAAAGGAGTTGAGCATGATATCCGATAGCTTCCAATTCTGGCCATAAAGACTCTCTTTGTCTAGGATTGTTAAGCCATAAACACTAGTGAAAATCCAAGTAAAACCATGATATATTTTCAAAGAGAAGGGAGAGTAGATACCTCTATCCACTTCCATTCCTTGAATCTTGTATTCATCCCACATAATCAGAATACCCACAGATATCCTCATAGCACCAATAGCATCCCAAGTTTTTGGTCCAAGTGACTGAGTCCTCCTCAAGTTGCTTCTCTTGTTCTTCGTTTTTCAATGTTTTGTTGCAATCTACTAACTTAGGCCCTGTTTGGCGGTACTTTGTCATTTGTACCTTCAACAACACCAAAGTACAAAGTGCATGGTATACTTTTGGTTTTGTACTTTTACTTCATAAACCGTTTGGATGAAAATTTTCCAAAAACATGTTTTTCAAAGTAAAAGTAAATGATGGTGTTTGGATACAACAAAATGCCAAAGGTGAGGTAACTCCAAAGGTGAGGGCCTTTTGTTGGGAAGTGGTTCTCCAAAAAATTAACAACTTCGATGTGCTTCAAAAAACAAAAGACCAAACAGGTGTTTATCCACCCATGTATGTAGCCTTTGCTTGAAGAGTGGTGAGACAGTGAATCATCTATTAATCTATTGTCCTTTTCTTATTCATATTTGGGATTGGCTCTCCTCTCTCATTGATTGCATGTGGAATCCTACCACAAACATGCAGACATTTTTTACTCTAGCTTTCTTCTGACAACCAAAGAGGAGGATAAGGGTGATGTGGAGAACAACGAGGGCAATTATCTTGTGGGCAGTTTGGGGAGAGAGAAATAACAGGATTTTCCAAGGGCAAGTGAGAACAGTACTTGAACTTATAGAAGGGATCACCATCAAGGCCATACATTGGCTGAAAACTTTGGATTTATTCAAGGATGTTTCTATAGATGATTTAACTAGAGGATGAAGCATAGTAGTGGGTTCTTCCATTTCGTCTCCTACCATTCAAGAGAATTGATCCCCTCCTCTGCGATGTAGTGTGAAACTGAATTCTGTAGGTAACCCAGGTCCCTCTAGAATTGGTGGTGCTTTTAGAGATTGGAAGGAAGAATTCTGGCCATTTTCTCTGGCCCAATAGGATTGGGTGACTTACTTAGAGAAGAAGTATTGACACTTCTCCAAGGGCAAAAACTGGCTAAACAGTCAGGTTTCAACAATTAGAAGTGGAGGGAGACTCAAAATTTGTAGTAGGTTGGATGCAAACAAATAGTTCAGGCACTTGGTCCCTTAGACAAACTATAAAGGAAATATTGAACCCAACAAGGGAGCTAGGAGCACAATTTAAATAGACTTGGAGGTCAGCAAATACTTTGGCTGACACTTTAGGTAAAGCAGGGGGCTACTAGGGAGGCTTTATTCTAGGCTTGTTTGTAAGTTGATTATATGATGTGGGGTCACCTTATGTCTTTGAAGGTGACAGCTGTATTACATCTCATTTTAAGATTAATGAAAGTTGCTGTTTCCTATCAAAAAAAAAACTCTCAAGTTTTGTTCCCACCATCACAAAGAGAATTAATAAGTCTGCAGTCAATTGGAACCAAAACATCTAGAATAAACTTCCTGGCAGTCTCCTTAACCATGCATCTCTTACAAGCACCGCCCAGTTCTCTTACATTCCAAGACAAAATCTTCATTGGAACCCTACCTACTCCCCAATTTCCTGTAACAGCCTTCCTCCACAACATTCCCCCCCCCCCTTCCACTTTAGATCATTGTTAGGTTTCCTCCCCTAGAAAGTTTCTAACTGTTTTTTATCAGCAACACAGAAAAGATTTCATTAGATTTAGATAAAAGAGGTAAGGGACGCAGAAAGTTTCTAACTTTCCACTTCTTCCCTTTTATCCACCAGATAAATCCCCAATTTATTAGCCACCTTATACCTTCCTGAGCTTACTTTCTCCATACTTACTTCATTCCCCTGCATCTCCCCTTGTGTCCTTGGGCTTCCATTCATAAACACATCTACTAGAGGATTCTAAATTTCTAACCAGGAGGAGAATGGAACCTGCACCTAAACTGGAACTAACCACAGAAGACACATTTGAGAAGCAACTTTCAATGGAAGGAGAGAATAATGACATGACCAAGAAGGCAAGAAGGGGAGGATTGTCCCTGAACAATTGGTTTGAAGCAATAAAGAGGGCTCAAATATTGGGCAGCGCAACATAGCCTTTCCTTGTGAAGACTCTAGTTCCAAGTCATGCATAGAGCTATAGCAACTAGCCTGGTTGACGTGGAAAAAGCTGGCAATTTTACCATTGGTTCAGACTGGCTGATCTCATTTTGCTTCACAAATCTCTCAGATGAGCTTTCTAGGCAACAGCCCTGGCCAGTAGCCAGCTTCTCCCTCAGGTACGCAAATGCCTCCGGTACACTATTGTCCACTCGAGAAGGCAACATGTATATATCAGCCCCTCCGATTTAATTTCAATTGGATCAAAATGAATTTATCTTTGAGAAAGATCTTCTTGTCTATTAGGGTTTTTAAACCCACTTAAGACAATGCTCCAAAAATCTTAGGATTAACACTAGTCTCACCATCTCTAAGCACCAAACAAAATGGGACCAAAATCCTTAATCCTCTACCTCTTTTGATCAAGCAGTAAAACCCTTCACAGGAAGCTGGGGATAAAAAAATCGAAGGTCTTTGCCTCAATAGAGGGATTTCCTTTTTGGTTGTGTGCTTATGGGGGACCACTCCCCATCAAGAAAGAAAAAACATTTTTGGACGACTGTTTACTTTTTGGGTCAATCACATGGTCCTAAAATACCATTTACGTTTTAGGATCATCAACTAAACAATTTGAAGATGCTTTCAAGAGGATCAGAGATTTCAAATGTAGAGCTCCAGATGCTTTTTACTTTTTAAGTCAATTACAATGGTTGTAAAACACCATGTACTTCTTGGAATCATCAACCCAACAATTTGAACATGTTCTCAAGAGGATGATACGTTACAAATGTATAACTACTCCAAGGAACCAATAAAATAATTAGCAAAACAAATACATTAGGGAAAGAAAATGAATACTAAACAATATTGAGCACACTATTTAGCAATTCAAAACACAACATTTCTCTTGATAATTGATATATGGAATAGGCATTCCTTTCTTTCATCCCAATTTGACAGTAAAGCATCTCACGTCCCATGTTTTGGGGAAAAAAGGGGATACAGTGTACAGAAGGAAACATTCAAAATTACAAGTAAAAATTATTAATCCCCACCCTAAAGAATAGCATGATACATATAGCATCCATAAACAAAATGTTGCAATTCTAGAGTGCATGTCACCACAATTGATCTAATCAGTGTAAAATAGAAAGGACAATTGCAGAATCCATCTCCCAATACATAATTATGCTAACAGCATGAACATCTGATGCAAATGTTTCATGATCTATGAACTGTGAAGGTCAACAAATTCATATGTTCCACAGAAATAATGGTCCATCCCAACTACTGTACAGAAGACCAAGTTTCAGGGTTTCATCATCTTTGACTCTAGCAACAGTAGAATACCCAAAACTGCATCTCCAAATGAAACAGAGGAAAGAATAACCTCAATAAATTGAAAAATCAAGCATCTTGTGGATCTAAGACTAAACTTGGTATATCCATATAGAGCTTAAAAGTATACACCAATTCCAATTTTCTACTACTCAAAAGCCTAAAATAATACAAGCTTCATCTGACAGATACAACTCTATAATACAATTTTCCCACATAGAAAAGACAATGTGTTATAAGATGTGCACCATAACATTTCTAATCATGGAACATGGCTAACACCAAGATCCATCTTTAAAAAACAAGTACATTCATTTACCTACTTCCCTTCTTTGGAACAGATACCCCATCTTTGAAATTTCCACCTGCTGTCGAATGAATAAAAAGGCCCATATTTTTATTAATGTGCCCTCAATAGAAAATCACTCTTATATCCATAGAGCGAAATTAAATAAAATATAATACTTAAAAGGAAAACTTCTAGTGAAGAAAATGTTCCTTAAAATGCAAAAACTAACCTTCAGAATCAGCCTTCAGTTTCTCATTGGGATTGATTGTTCCTCCTCTAACAAATGTCTTTGACCCAGGCGTATTATCCCCTTGGAATGACTCTACAAATTCCGCATACAAGCGTGCAGTTTCATCCTCCGCTCTCTGCAAAGCCAATAGTCCAGAGGTATTAATTACTTAAGTCACACTTACTGAGAACCGACAGCTAACCGGAAGGGAGGCGGGGGAAGGAAAATAAAAACGTGCCTTCTTCTTGGCTTCTTCCTCCTCTCTGTGCTTTTGAAAGGGGGTTTTCTTCCGAGTAACAGAAAACGAATTCATCTTCTCTTTTCAACACATGCTACAAACCTAAGAGGCATAAAACAGTAATTATCACAACCAAGTAGATAAATTGCATCCAAAGATAAAACCCCAAGGCCAAAGAGCTAGAAAATAGCGATTTAACAAGTCCAGGTAACGCCATGATCGAGAAAACCAAACAAAAACAGCTCCTCAACATAAAAACCGTTCCAAAAGTTAAAACCCACATCTAAATTTGCTTCCCCCGATCAACCGCTTCAGATTTATAAGCTAAAACCCATAGTTAACAAAACAAAAAATGCTCCACATAATGCATCATACGAAGTAGGGTTCGAGCTTCAAAGGCACACATAAAACTTGGAGTAAATAAATGGGATATAATAACACCGCATGTCTAAACGTTGCAGATTACACTGTAAAGAGAATGGATTCTCGAAATTAAGTTTGAAAAAAGAAAAAAAAAATTATATATATATAGAGAGAGAGAAGATGATGCACGTACTGATAGCTGCGAAAATAAATAGAAACGCTGTACGGGACCCAAGTGAATGCGGGTTTCTAGGGTTTGAGAAGACTGCAGGAAGAATGTTTTACAGTGATTTGGAGGGGAGCATTTGCAAGGCGGCCGATTCGCGTTAATGAACGCTGTGAAACCGGAAAAGGAAAATTGTACTTTTCGTGGAGGGTTCTCGTATTCTAGACTTGTACCAGCGAAGACCCGTGCAGTAGACGGAGTTTCTCTTCTTTTTTGAGTAAATTGTAGAAAATCCCTGTTTTTTGGGGGCGTATGACACTTAGCCCCTTATACGGTTATACCGGTATCAAACATTCCAGTACCATAGATAATCATGCCTTCTCGGTATTTTAGTGGACTCGTCGTACTTCGTAGTGTTTTCTCGGAATATCGATTCAATCGTACGGTTCGAACTCGATCGTTGATTTCATCAAGTAACTCCTTCCGTTCCTTTAGGATCTTTTTGTCGCACATCTTTACATGTTTTCCCCATTCTATCCCGTCAATTCCCTTTCTTTTATCAATCTAACGATGTCAGTTCCGTCACCGTCTCATCTCCGTCTGCCCAAGTTCCCAAAGCTCAAGCAGACCCCCAAGTGGGGCGAGCGGAAGAGTAGTAGAAGATTTCACAGAGGAATAGAGAGGAGGAGAGAGAGAAGAAGAGAGGAAAGCTATCATCGCCATCAGCCGTCAAGGTTGCCGTGGATAACTTCTGTATACTAGAAATCTCTCTCCTTTATCTGTCTCTTCGGTATTCGATCAGTTGATAACAATTTATTCAAGAGAACATCTTTCATTTGGTTACAGGTTTCTCTGCTTCTTCTGCCCGACATTTCCCGTCCTGGTGATTATTGGGCCGTGTAATGCAGTTAGCATTGCAGCAACCATCAGCTTAGCAAGGCTCGTCAATCTTGAATGCAGAGGTAGTGAGAAGAAGGGCAGAGAGAAACCATGGTGGTGGCCTCCGGAACTAATTCCTATACTAAGGAGATAGCCATCCGTAGGAGGATTGCCAACATGTAAGATCCCTTCTCTCTTTCTCTACTTGCTTTTCCCATGACACCCAGTTTGCGACATCAATGAAAATCAAGGCGAAATGGTGTTTATGCCTCCTCTTTTCCTTTGTTTTATTCATTTTTATTTGATTTGTGTTCTGGGTCGTTTTGACAAACTTTGATTTCTACTCCTTCAGTTCGTACGATGCTTTTTTCTAGTATAATCTCGTATATGATTTAGTTGAAATTGCATAGACCAATTTTGGGTCAATAATTGATTGCAAATCATAGGTCTGGTGACCGTGGTAAAAATGAAATGACTCATTTGCAAACTAATTGAAGTTTTTTTTTCTGCAACTAATTGAAGTATTTAAGCTCTAATTGTGGAGCCTTTTCTTTGTTTTCAATTTCACAGATATAATAAGAGAGAAGAGGATTTCCCATCTTTGAGAGAATATAATGATTACTTGGAAGAAGTGGAGGATATGAGTAATTCTATTAGGATTTTTTTCCCTTCGTTTTTTCACTGATATACCAAACTTAAGATTGTTGTTCTGACCAATTTTTTCCTCTATAGCTTTCAATTTGATCGAAGGAATAGATGTCCCTGCTATTGAAGCGAAAATTGCCAAGTATCAGGAAGAAAATGCCGAGCAGATAATCAATGCCCGAGCTCGTAAGGTAATTCATAATTTCTTTTAGTCCCTCTCTAATTCTCAAGTTCAAAAATGATTTTAGGTTATATTTTTTATCCATCACATAATATAACTACTATGCTGTAAATGCTGTGAAGATAGTAAGATATGATGCTAATCTTAGCAAACTGTAGGCTGTGTTGGATCCCATTTGTCACTCTCCTTATTCTAACTGTGGTAGATCCTTTGTTCAGGCTGAAGAACTGGCAGCAGCTTTGGCAGCAAGCAAGGGACAGCCTGCACAAGCCAATGTGGTTGATGTGGTGAGATGATTTTATTGTTTATGGTTAATCATTTGTAGAGTTAGCATTGGTGATGATTGCACAACACTTCTTTTCTGGAACTACCAAGAGTTCATATAGAATCTGCATCACATTAATTGTTTTCTTTTCTCTCCTGATCATTTCACGCTCAGAACATATTTAGCACAAGTTTCCTTTTTTTATTATCCTAGGATTGAGGTCATAAATTATCATGTCTTCGTTTTGAGAGCTTGAGGTTGTCTAGAGGTAAAATGTTCAACCTTTTGGCTTGCTTCTAATATGTAAACCAATATGACTTCACCATCATAGTTCTGCCATTGTTTTTTTATCAACATGTTGCTGCTAGTTAATTAAGCAAAAAGATTTTCTACTTTGTACTAGATTTTAATAATCAGAAGTTGAGTGTACCATCTAAAATGCACCAAGGCGTCTTCATATTAAGAAACTCAATGAGTTGTGATTATGGTCTTCCCAACAAGGCCACAATTTCCTCCCATAGAGACGCAATACAAACCTTACCTTCACTCTTTTTAAAGACCCCAGCCTGCACTGCTGCTCAACATGGATGCACCATCTACATTTTGTTTTTTTTCCTCGTTTTTGATGGTTACTGTCTGTATTAAGTTTTAACTTCCAGCAGTTCAATGTCTCCATCACTGGTCAGACCATCTACTAAGAGTGATTGGCCTGTTCTCCACCTCAGCCCAAGATAAAGACTTTGAACTACCTTCACTGCATGTCAATGCAATTAGCCAATCATTACGTTTGCAGGATATATGTCTACTTATCTTTCTGATCTAATTCAGGACCTTCTTACTGACTCTTTTCTAAGGTTAAGCACATCAGCTTTCCTTCAAATCACTGTCATGTCCTCTTCTATATCACCCAAACTATAATGTTTGGGGCAATTCCAACAATGAATGCTTAGTGATCAGCTACCAGATTACCTTCCCTATGTAAATGAGACACATTATATCTGAGTAATAAGGGTTTTGACCGACTGTTTTACTGCATATAACTCATTCTTTTATTCATGTAATAAAAAATCATCGTTACCAATAAAAAAATGAGTAAGAACAGCTACACCTGATCTCAGAATGGTTTGTGTCCTTTTAATTAGATGAAATGAATAAAAAACTAATGAAACACATATTGATCAATAAAATCATAGATCAATATTTCAAGATGATCTTTTTGATGGCCCATAGCAACTCTTGTAAATCCCATGGTAATGAAACAACATAAGATAAGCCTCCTTCCTACCATAAACAACATAGATGAACTGTGGGAACAAAGTAAGTATCATGCCAAGTAGTTGTCACCTATGTCAACCAGCTGGATGTGAAGTGAACCTGAGATAATCACAAAGCCCAAAGATGAAGTTGTCTTTGTGATCACATACCCAATGTCAAAGGAAGAAGGGACTTCAATGGAAAGGCCATCAAAATTTACTTTATGCAGGGCACCAGGGGGCAAAGAAATCAAATAAACCTTGTAGTAAACAGGATACAATGTGAAGGGTTGAAATGTAGAAAATTAGTGCTAAGGTCAATTTTATTGATGAGGAAAGTAGGGCCAGGTGTGATTGATGATGGTTTGTAGATGCCAGTGTTCCTGGTCTGCCATGTAAACCATAAGGTGCAGCAGATGAAGGGTTTAAACAAGGGATCAAGGGTGTGAGTTCCTGAACACTGAGCAAGTTAGCCACTGTCAAAAGGTTAGCAAGGGAGTTGTATTAGGGTAGACACTAGCAAACCAGATGGCATGAAAAGAAATGCTGCATAAAACATGTGGGGTAGACTCTGGTTTCAAAGACAGATGGTAGTGGTGGCTAAATAGTAAATCTTTCAAGGCTAGTGACTGAGAAGTAGGAAGTTAATATCAATAACATTCCCTGAAGAATGTTTAGAATTTAGGTGCACAGAGACCAAGGAAGATGCCAAAAGGACTGGAGAGAACTTGCAAGAAAACAATTTTGTAAATGAAGTTCAGAAGAGCAGACAGTGAACTGATCTTTTTTTATTAGCAACAGTGAACTGACCTTCATGAAAAGGGAAAACTAAAAACGAGTAGCCAGGGTTGTGAGGCAAGAAGAATGGCTTAAGCATGATTGTTAATATTTGGAGGAAAAAGGGATTGCAAGAGAGATGTACTGCAGGTCTCTCTTGTATGTATTGATGAGATTAGATACTTACTGTATTTGGTCGTAATCAAATGAGGAGGCCTAAATTAGAAGAGTGATGGTATGAAAGGAAGTTATTCCAAACCTAAGATGCCCAGGTAAGGATACAAACATGGACAGAGATATAGGAAAGGAGAATATAACTCTCTTGTGATCCAAAGCATGGATATTCATACAAGTATCCCATCTAATATGTTAAATAATGCTGTTATGTTTAATTTTTTAAAGCCAAAGTATCATTTCTCAATATTCATATATTGTCATATTTCATATTCTAGTTTGATGGATTCAATAATGGGGAATTGGAAATGAATGGTCAGGCAATAGTTCCATCTGGCTTGGACAAGGTCAACTTCCAGAGGGAAGAGCTCAAGTTGGAGGCCTCCTGCCTCATAAGGAAGATAGCAGAGGAAGCCAGTCCCTGTTGGATGGAGTTCAACAGAGAGGTTATTTGGGAAGGATGAGATTGTTCATGAGAAATTGTAGTGTTATGTGAAGGGTTAAGAGGTTGAGAATAAGGAAAGGCTAGGTGAAGCTCACGAGATTCACTATATGGGGAGAGGAAGAAGGAAATGAGAGCTCTGGATTAGGCAATATTAAATATACTTCTAGTATTACTATTTAGTACCATGTAAAAACATCATGGTGCTATTACTTGGTGTGATGGTACAGATTTGGGCTAAGCATGAGAAGGTGGGTTTGAGTCTGAAAGCAGCCACGTTGTGCAAACAATGTCAGAGGTTAGGTCCATATCCAGTCCATTCCTGATGCTGCCCAAGACCCTGGATAATGGGGACTAGCATTGGCTAATGAACTTTATAAAGCATCATCAGACTCAGTTTTCATTTTATGGTTGTTACACCGGCTTCAAGTTGGTCACTAATTGTATTAAATTTCACCCAAAAGGAAGATAAGAGGAGAACCGTGGCCTCAACATGTAATCAGACCCACAAAACACCTTCCATATAAAAACTTGAAGAAGAAAGACATCCAAAAGAACCTTAGTTTTGTGCTTTTTTAAAGATCATATCCATATACCTTATATAAAAGAGAGAGTTCCGCGCTCTCTCTTTTGAAGTCTCTTTTGTCCATAATGGTATTTTGCTTTTCCAGATTTGTCCTCGTGAATTTCAATTTTTTCTCTGTCCTCTTTTATTTCTCTTAGTGTGTGGAGTTCTGATTTCTTTCTCTAGATTACACTACACTAAACAGAGAAGCTTCATTTCTCTTCTCTTTTTCTAGAGGATTTTGCCCATGCCAATGTTCGTTTGAATGGTGTCAGAGGCCACACAGCATAACAATTTGGAATGTAGTGCACAAAACCTGTTATTTTGAGCACTTATTTGGCTTTATGTTTGGAAGATGAAATAAGTCCCTGTTGAATTTGACACTTGTACCAAATTTTCAATGTCTGAGTGGTTGGATGGATCCCTACACTCTATGGTCCTTGTTTTTGCACTTTATTTTTTCTTTTCTTCTCAAGCTAGAACAACTCATTTTGGACATACCCAGGATGCAGGATACTTCCTTCGCATTTACTTAAAATCACAAATTAGATAATGTGGATGTGTTTCATCCATGAAATCTATATATTTGTGAAAAACTTATTGCTTAATTTTTAAATATAAAGCTTTAGTAACAAGATATTAGAATTTTGAAGATGCAAACAAAATTGCACTTTAAAATATTGGTAGAAAACATGTATGCTTTAAAATGGTGTTCTAAGTTCTGGACGCTTGAGAATTAACAGTTTTGGATTATCTATCAAAAAACAAAACACAGTTTTGGATTATACACATGCACATTACATTCCGGGTCTTTCGAGTTTGTTCTCTGCATCTCCAAGTCATGTTTACAATGGAGGAGCTGATTTCTTGACATTTTCAACTTATACATTATATTTTATCATTAAATGGGATGTACAGTTTTTCCTTTCTTAAACATCTGTTGTATTGATGCATTAAATGAAGTAAAAAATAATAAATAAATAAATAAAACTTTAACATTAAGTACCTCACAATATTCTTGTGATATTTGAAATAATAAACTATTCTAACATACAAGCCTTCTGCTTTATTGACGTCTGCATGTCTGACACTAACATACAAGCTTGAGTTAATTTTTTCCAAGTGCATGTTTACAACAAATAAGGGTCAATGATGAAGTTTCAATGTGCCTCTATAGGTGGTTATGGCCTTACTCGAATCCATCTTTGCCATTGGAGGCTACCTGCTATTTCTCCTCTAAATAGTTGACTGTTTCTGTAAATTAAGTAACTTCAAATATTGTTTTCATGTATACTACTGAACTTTTGTTGTCCTGTGAAATTTTGGTTATGCAGACAACGGGTCAGAGCTCTCAAGCAGGGGTTGCACAGGGGCAGTATGCACCTGCTGTGCCTGGAGGTGCACTTGGGCAACCACGACCAACAGGCATGGCCCCACAGCCTGTCCCAGTTGGAGGTGGACCTGACTTGCATGGTTATGCAGCTGATGATGAAGAAATGATGAAGCTCCGAGCAGAGAGAGGCGGGAGGGCAGGCGGATGGACAGCAGAACTGAGCAAAAAGAGAGCACTCGAGGAAGCCTTTGGTAGCATTTGGATTTGATTTCTCCATACAGTGGTATCAGTGTCCTTGTTTGGGAAATGCTGAGCCTCTCTTTTGTCAGATTCTGATTGTGTAAAGAATATCAGTTTTGTCAGCATTGTTTGCTGTGTTGTTTCAATGCAAGAACTTTCCAACACATGAGTTCATTCATGGCGCTGAGGGTGAAGTTACTAATAGTAGTAGTAAAAATTGCATTGCTCCTCTGTATGCATGCACATACACGCTCACACCCACATGGCTGAAAAGATGATCTTCTGATCAAGAGCTGGGTTGGGCGATTCAGCCCAGAAGTTTCTCTGGATCAACAACGAATCTGGTCAAGAGCCAATCTGAAAAGATGAGCTTCTGAAGAGAAAAGTCAGATATACGGATTGCATTTGGTGGGCGAAGTAGCAATTTCAGATCGGTTAGGAACACGTAAATGGACCAGTGCCATAGCCCATAATATGTGGGTGAAGCATCTTGAAAGAACGGTACGGCACGCACAAAGCATGTCCCTTTGATGGACAAAAGCTGATGGTGTGTTAAGCTGCTTAAGGGGAATGGTTAGAAGTACCGGCACGCTCGATACTTTTGATGGCTTCCATCACTTGGATTTTCCTGAAAAGTAGGTGATTTGTTCGTACCAGTTATGCTCTCAGAGTTAAACCTGCATTCTCAGGCTTGTCAACATGAGATTTTACCAAATTGAAAAATGCTGCAACTGCGGAAGAAAATTACTAGGAGACAAAGGAACCAAGCTCTCGATGTGACTCATAATTTGAGTTTGTCTTTTGCATTATATGATGATAATGTCTAGCCAAAGCAAAATTTTATGAAGAGACAACTAGCTAAGTAGCAGCCTAGCCCAGACAACATTAAGGGTTCAACAGGTTCAAAACATCGATATGCCCGATACGCCGGTAGGGGCTTATCGGGCGTTTCAATACTTGTCTTTTTACTTTTTTTTTTCAAAACTGGTTCAGGGGAGCCGGTCTAGGACCCCTCCATCCCCTGAACCGGTCAGACCCCCGATACACCCACTGTAGCGGCATATCGAAAGGGTCTCGGAATGATACGTATCGGCCAATATGGGCCAATACGTAACGATACTTTAAACCTTGCTTCAACTATCATACCGGAAAGTTATGATGCTGGAAAAACTTACAGCCAATCAGGTGGTATTCATCAAATTCATGGGGTGCTTTCATTGGTCAAATCTCTTCCCATTCTCTGTCTTCCGGTATTATAGATTTTTTTCTTTTAATTAAAGATTTAAAGTTTATCGCATCGCAGTTCATCTTTTCTTGGTTGATCAGTGAATCCAGCCACAAAGATTTGTTTCTGTAAATTACATTCTAGTCCATGCAAATGCAAAGTTGGTTTCTTGTCAAAGATTTTTAATTGTGATAGGTGCAAAGTGCAAACACAAATCCCAATACTGGAATATACATTTTTTCTAACATTCATCAAATTTGAATGCAAAGTTTATATCCATCTTTTGGATGCAAACTTTGGTCTCAATCTGAATGCAAACATGTCTTAGAATCTGCATTTGCTGTCACATCATCAGGACACAAAAGCATTCTCGCAAAACATTAGCACTGAACCAGCATTTACACTCTTCCCAAATGCACTGAACCGGCATTTGCACTCTTCAAACAGAACCGGCATTGTCAAGACTCAAGACTCCTTTTGCAAAGAGTACAAATGCCCGTTCAGTGCTAATTTCTGGCAACTTCTTTGAGTTTAAAATGCTGATTTATTAGATCGTGAGCTCATTAAATTGTTTTATACGATCTGGATCCAGGTCATCCAACGGATTCAATTCATGGTTTCCAACTTCAAGAAATAGATCAGAGATGTATGTGGATCAAATCACCTTAATCCATGAATTAATTCACAGTGAAGGTGCCAATTATCTTGTTGGCAAGGTCTCTAGCAAGTTGAGTTGTCTAATATACACATGGAGTGTTACGATACATTGACATGCAGAGGCTAACATGGTCTTTTGCTCTAGGACAGCTGGTGGAGAGTAGCAGAATTGCAGAGTTTGTTACAGCAGAAATATTCCCTGCGCATCATTAGCAATCATTAGCCTTTTTATTTTGTCTTTTCCATTTYGGTTGTAACGGCCATCAAGCCTGAGCTCTATATATGTATCCAACCACAATCGAATGGGTATGAGAGATTTACCTTACAACAAAACTATCTTTGTTTATTTTCCTTCCGAGAGTCGTGCTTAGCACTATAGCTCGAGGGAAGAAGCCGACCTCGTCCCGACGACAGGAGGAGGTCGATATTAATCTAGTATCAGAGCCAGACATCCCATCGGGAGAGGAGATGTCGAATCTTGAAGAAAGGTTGAACTTCCTGGAGAGAAACCAGGAGGGACTCATGGCCAAGTTGGCAGAGCTTTTGGAACGTCTGGGTCCTCCACCTCCAGTAGGAGGGAATCCATAATTGAACACCAATCGATTTGTCTCAGAAGGTGCGGATAACAAAGGCAAGGAAACGGAAGCTTCTAACAAGATGGGGGGGTCGATCAACACAGGAACATGGAGACCAAAGTTGGAACTCCCCAAGTTCAACGGGAAAAATCTCGATGGTTGGTAGGTGCTGATGCAATAATACTTTTCTCTACAAGGCATCACCGAAGACCAATGGATTCAGTTCACTAGCTTGGGCTTTGAAGGAAGAGTAGTAGAGTGGTATTGCTGGTTCATTGAGCACTATCCACAACCCTCTTGGGACCAGTTTGTGGATGCACTGGATCATCGATACAACAGCACTATCCACCCAAGTGATGAAGTTGAGGAAGATCCAAACGAAGGGGAGGTGTCAGTTTCAGAAATATCCCTCCATGCAATCTCAGGGTCCAGTTCTCCAAAAACCATGCGACTCCGAGGACTGATAAACCAGCAACCAATAACAATGTTGGTGGATACGGGATCCACCCACAATTTCTTGGATCCAAGGATAGCGAAGAAGGCATGAGTGATTCTAGTAACACAAACACAATTCGAAGTGTTAGTCACCAATGGAGAAAAGATACAAGCGGCCGGGAAATGCCCACAGGTATCGATCAAAACTCAAGGAACCACCATAATAGCTGAATTCTATCTACTCTCCCTATAGGGCTACGATGCAGTATTGGGGGCCCGATAGTTAGAGACACTGGGACCAGTTGTGTGGGATTTCTCCTCTTTGTCCCTACCATTTGAAGACAGCCAAGGCCACCACACCTTGAAGGGATTACAAACACAACCCTCTCGCATGATTGAGGCCGCCAAGGCTGCTAAGGATGCTGAGAAGGGAGCCCTTCTGTTCTTGATTCAACTGAAAGGAGGAGAGGAACAACAGATGAACCCAGAACCTCATATTCATAAGCTATTGGAAGAATATCAGGATGTGTTTGCTGAACCCATGGAACTTCCCCCTCCATGTCACTGTGATCATGCCGTTCCATTGAAGGATAATTGATGAAGGAAGATTTGGCCCGACCTCGTAACCACTCAACACGTGGCAAAGGCAACAACACGCCCAAGGCGCGAGCTCCAAAAGGAGGAACCAGCGGTCCGAACTCCCTACAAGGAGCCCGAACTCCCTACAAGGAGCCCGAACTCCCTACAAAGAGCTCAAACTCCCCGCAAGGAACCCGAGCTCACTCTTAGACCCCGAGCCTTACGAAACAACCCGAACTGGCCCGCCCCATGGCAGTTCGGGCCACACCTCCATCCGAGCTCAATACTTCACCTCGGACACCACTCCAACACTTCACCTCCAGGGCGCCGAACTGAACAACCGTACCTGACACCGAAGGAGTCTGTATCCTGAGGCGACACAACTGACTGACTTGGGATCTGACACTTGACAGTCGCACTTCAACGGCCACCTGCCACCGCCATCTCCAGTTACAGAGACGGCTCCGACAAAGAGAGCAGTGGTGGTTTTGCCTCAGCAGAGGTGATGACACCCGAACTGGCAGAAGCGCAGGGGTAATCATACCCGACCTGACCGAAGCATAGGAGTGAGTGCGCAAAGTGGTTATAAAAGGCTCCCTTTCCCCCCTGAAGAAGGTATGTGAACTTTGCGCCATCTGGTTTTATCTTGCCTTTGAGAGAATACTAACTTGAGCTTCGGAGCAATCTCACCGGGTTCCTCCTCGGAGATTCCTCATCTTCTCTGTTTCAAGCTCCTTGTTGCTCTAGTCAGAGGCAAGGTCGTTGACAGCTAGGACCAGCCGGATTGCACACCATCAATTGGCGTCGTCTGTGGGAAACACTTCTAAAAGCCTCCCTCTAAAACTCTCATAACCTCTTTTTCCAAAAAAACCCCAACACTCATGGCTTCTTCCAGCAATGTCGGACGTGGCACGGAGATGAACACCACCGGGGAACAACCTCAAGTCCCTGTGGTGTGCATCGAACAGTTCACCATCCCCCTTCCGGTGGATGGGATCCCCATCCTGAATGTGCCACGAGCAGTGGCGCTAGTGAACCTTACCGCCGTGAACGTCCCCTTTCCTCCCCCTGTCGAAACAACCTTTACTGAACCAACTGCTCTGCCCCTGGCGACTAGCCAGAGCCAATTTGACGACTTGATGCAGTACATGCGGGCAATGCAAGCCCAAATGCAGCAGTTCCAGCAGCACCAAGTATTGCACCACCTCTCTCAGTACCACTATCAGCAGCAGTTCCCCCAACTGCCTCTCAACCAACCACTACTTCCACCTCGGCCCCCTGCTCCAAAGCCGGTTAAGGCTTCCCCTCAGGGTGGACGCCATCACCGAGGAGAAGCCTCCCAATTTTAGAACCCCCCTAACAGCTAGGCCTCATCCCCGGGCCAAAGGGAAAGAAAAATCACCCCCGCCTCGCAGCTCGCAGGCGAGTCGAGAACCTCGCCCGCAAGATTGGCACCTCGGCGCTCCAAGCCTGAGCTCCCGCTCACAGAGAACCGATTCGGCGTCCTAGCAGCGGACTACCAACACTCTGGGCCCATCGAGCTCGGCAACATAGAGGCTAGCAGCACCAGTACCAGGCCCACTCAGCAACGAAGGCGCCGGCGAAGTCGCTGAACTACCACCCGTGTCCTGCCTGAGCTCAAAGGTAAAGAAGAGACAAGCTCGGACGAGGTAAAAGCTGCCCCTATTCTCTCAGTTCCTTCCCCAT